AATCACACCTAATTTTCATAACATGGCTTTCATTTTAGAATCTCGTCTAGAAGTCGAGTCAGGAACCACACACAAGCCTTGTTCTCACGTACAATGGCTAAATCTTGAGTTATAAGACAGCTGGGCCTGTTTTAGCACCGCTGACCTTGAATGGGTCGGTGGGTCGCAAGCTCTGCCTCAGGGTTTGGGTCTCCTTTGAGGGTTCCCTCCGTGCTTCGGGCTCGGAAATTGGGAGCACTCACCTTGCATCCCAGGACCTTTGACGAGTGAAACGGTATGTGGACAGCTCTGCTGACTTTCCCTTTGTGCTCCTGTCGGTCACACAAAGGCTGCCTTGAAACCCTGCCACCTGCCCCTTGTTTGCTATCGTACCCGTGAGCACGGGGTTTTTTTCCCGCCTCTGGTTTAGATTATCCAAGTGAGTTACTTTGGTGTAGGGGACCCTGAAGGGACAGAAGGAAAGAAAATTTTAAAGCAGAACACTGTTTTAAAACATAAATTCTAAAATAGTTGACAGAAGCAAGTAACAAACGAGCACAGCCTGGACACATTTAAAAGTAGGAAGTGGGACTCCAAGCCCTATTTTTGGCCGTCTCTGCCGGAAAAGTGTGTAACCCACTAACCTCAGCAATGTCCCCGTGGGAGACGCCGCCTGTAGGAGGCAGAGGAGGGGGGCACGGCAGTGGCTTCATCCTGGGTTCAGCTGGCACAGGGAGGCATCTCGGGGGGGAGGGGGGATTCTTATTTCCGTCCTCACTTTCTTGGTCTCATGGCCCCAAGGACTGGAGGAGGACCAGGGAAGGCTGGCCAAGGAATGTCCCAAAGCTGGGCATGGCTTCCTCCTGAGAACGAGCAAGCGTTTATTGCCCCCAGGCAGGCAGGAAACATAGCGGTCAGGGGACAGGCAGTGACAGTGACCCAGTGGCCGTCATGTGAGTCCAGACTTGAGATTCGCCAGTTCCACCATATACCTAACCTTTTATTTTTCGTCTGTCTCTGTCTCTCCTCCCCCTCTCACCCTCTCTCTCTCTTCCTATCTCTCAGAAAAAGTGAGCGTCTGACCCCAGAGCAGTACTTCCAGATCGTTCATTTCAGGTGGTTTTCCAGGTCATTGTATTGATGAGAGCAAGGCGTGCTCATGGTTGCCGTGCCTGAGGGCTGCCCCATGGAGGGTCAGTGGTCATCCCCGCCTCGATTTTCCCTGCCCTTCTGCTGGAACCATCTAGACTCGCTCGGAGTCTCCAGGTCCCCACACTGTGAACTGGCTCCCTTTGTTGCGTGGCGAGTTGAAGAATTGGCTTTGGGTGGAAGTTGCTTGTAATAACCCTGAGGCCGCCGTTCGGATGGCACTACGTGGTCAGCTTCATCTTAGGTTTATTTTGTCTGCGAGAGAATTTGGACCGTCTGTGCCTCACGTTTTAGAAGATGGCTTTTTACTTCGTATGATTTTCTGTAGGGAGGGTCTTTGCAGGATTGAACAGCTATATCTGTGTCTCCTTCCTCTTTCAGAAATTGGTCCCCTCTCTATGTAGTCCGCATGAGGTTTCCCGAAAAGCAGCCCTTTCTAAAAAACTGCAGTGTGCTTTAAAAAACAAACAAAACAAAACTGCCAGGCTGTGGAGAACAGTGTAAGTCCGGTTACAGGTGTTTCTACCAGCGTAGGAAAACATCTGTCATAATGTTTGGCGGGTTGCAGAGCCGAGGCTGTGTGAGTTTGGGCGGCCTCCAAGTGGAAAGGGTTGGAAGGGATGGAAAGAGAAGCCGGGCCTCCTGGTTCTCTGGGCGGTGGCACTGCCCTGTAGCTTATCTGCCCTGTCCCTAGCATACACCTCCGGTGTCTTCTCAGAAACCCATTACTGCTTTACTTCGGAGCTCTGGGGTGCACGCCCTTCTAGCTAGCCCTGTTCTGTTGGAGAACTTGAACTGGAAACTAGAAATCCAGAAGCAGGGTGAGTCACCCCGAACTTCCCCGCGATGAAAAGATGCTGCACAGACAGCTCTCTCCGCTGATCCACACGCCTCTGAAGGGACGTGTCTGCACCATGAGTGGCGTCTCTTAGCATTATCGCCGCATGCTGTTACGGTTTTTTTTAAAGGAAGGTAAAGGAAATGGTACAATGACGTGGTATTGAGGCTTGAGCAGTCGCCCTCTGTTGGCTCAAGGCTGGGCGCCCTGGCTCTAAGGGGCCTGGTGCACCCCATTTGGAGGGGTTGGAGCAATCGTCTGTTTAGGGAGTTGGTTCCTTTTTGACACCCAAGTAGTTAATTTTATAAGTGAAGTATTTAATATTTTAGGTTTGGTAATTCTTAAAGTAACAGAATTACTTTATTAAAGAGGTTGGCTTTCACGTTTAGCCTGGGTCCTGTGCCCCTGAACAAGGCACCCGACCTCTCTGTCCTCAGTGCCTGGGATGTGACATGACCCTGCCTGCCTCGACTCGTTCATGGGCAGAGCACCTACAGCATGGCTGGTACACAGACATTCAACCCGCGCTGTAGCCCTATATTAAATATTGTGTAAGACAAACGTGATGTCAACGGTGGTCCGTTGCTGGTCACCTCTGAAGGGTCAGGACTGCTGCTGTCCATCCTGCCCAACCGGCCAGGTCCTCTGGCCAGTGGTGGAAGGAGAGATGGCAGTGCCAGCAGCGACGGGGCAGAATCCCCACTGGGAGGCCTATAAGCCCCCTGGTGGCCGAAAAACCCAAGACAGAAAAGAGGGAAGGGAACAAGGCAGAGATGGGCTGGGGGCTGCCTGAGGTTATCTGGTCAGTGTCTTTTCTCGGACGAAGGTGTGTCCACGCAAACCTATCTCCCGTGCTTATTCTTAGGAGAGTTACCAGTGGCACTGCCTATCTCCCAGCCTCTCCTCCCGGAGGGCAGGGAACTCTGCCCCGTTTCTGAACTGTGCCCAGAAAACGAGAACCGCGGAAGCTGGGCCTGCCCACCCGCCAGCACCCCGGCCGCTCCCGGCAGCCCAGCGGTGCCGGGAAACCATCTGCTGTAACCAGATAGTGCTGTTTCCATTTAGTTTGGGTTCTGTTACGTTTGCCTGTCTTTTTTGATGTATCTTCTAAGTGAACACGTCCTCGGGCTGTTGGGGAGACGTGTAAATATTGTCTTGTGTGTGGCCAGGCCTGTTTCCTCGTCTCCCCTGCTCTGGCCTTTCAGCCCGTGACTGCGAATGTGCCAGCAGAGGAATTACAGAAATTGGCGCCAGCAGGCTTCTTTTATACATGGGAACCCAACGTTTGTCAGTGTGGCTTGGATTTTTTTTTCTTTCTTTCTTTCTTTGCATGCAGCCTAGGAGATGGGGGGATTGGGAGAGGATTTGGGTCTCTTCGCCGCCTCCCTGATAACTTGAGGCCTTGTTGGCATTTTGGGAGAAAAATGGGGACCACAGTGTTCAAATAATGAGCTGGGGTCCCTGGGTAGTCAAATGGTGGTTACAGATCTCTGGTTTTGGGGGACCAGCACTCTTGGGGGGAATAGTGTTGAGTTGATTTAAACAGAGTTTGTCCCCAAGCATGATATGTCTTGATGGATCAGGACATGGGGCAGTGGCGCGGGCACTGCTGTTACATCATCACCGTGTACCTCCAGGTCCTGGAAATGTCTTCGTACTCACTTTCTTCCCTCACAGTTCATCTCTGGTATTTCTCTTTAACTTGAAGATTCCAGTTGAATCCTAGATTGAGAGAGACGTGGGGGGAGACAGAATACTCCGAGGTTTCCTGGCATCAAATATGCATCTTCTCTCATTTTGAGATGTCCTCACGGTGCAGAGCCTCTGAGCGTCCCGGTCGCCAGCTTTTGTGTGTGTTGTGAAGCCTTAGTCGTGGGACGCTGCAGCGGGAGGGGCAGGGCCTGAGGCGCTCGTCTGCGGTGTCGCTCCTCTGAGACCCTTCTGTGTGTTTAAAGAACTGCCTCAGTGCTTCTGTGTGGGGTGGTCCTTCATTTAAATAACGGCTATTCCTTGCATTATTGGACCCAAGCCCCTAGTGGGCTATGTGAGACCTAAATCCGTGGGAATATGGAAAATCGTACGCAGGATGTGAGCCAGGCTGAGGCTGCTGGGATTACATTTTCCTTTCCGGCAGATTTAAAGGAAGATGCACTTCAGATGCAGACACTGCCCTGTTTTGCTTCATAACGTTCAAATTGAGTCCTTGACCTCTGTTGCAGTCTTACCATGATGAATTCTAGGTCCCGTGCACAGGTGGTGGTTTTTTTGTTGGGGGGGTGTTGTTTTTTTTCTTTCTTCCCCCTGGCTGTGTGAAGAGGTCTGTGTTTTACAGTAATAAGGTAAAGATTCCCTTGGACTTGAGCAGTGTGGCTCATTTGATGCTTCACCACAGAGGCCTCGGAGCGCCGGGTTTCATTCTTGGCGAAGCATGGGCTGCAGACCTGGCCCATGTCTCGGGGCACCTCATGCTCCAGAACAGGGCGTGAGGTTGTTGCCTTTCTCTCCTGCCCGCCCCTGTTCACGTTGAATTTGTTCTTGGCCGTGTGCAGCGGATTAGCATTTCATCAGGGTGGATTAAGGCCGAACTGACATGCAAGCGGCCCTCTTCTGTTTTCCTCCTGTCGCTTTCAGGCGACGGGAAGCAGGGGTGGGGCGGCGCCCCTTCCGGAGCGGGAGGCAGTGCTCCCCCAGAAAGCCAGCCCTGCGAGGTCGGGGGTGAGAAGTCAGAGCTTCGGCGTGAAAGAACCCCCCACTCGCGGGTCGGCAGCCTGGATGCCGCCGCAGTGGCTTCATCAGCCTGCAGATGTCACGTGGCACGAGGCTTCAGGGGTTTTATTTCGCTCCTAATCCCCTCGCCGCTGCCGAGCGAGCCGAGGACCGTGTGAGCACCAGGGGCGGGGGCCGCGGGCGCCGCGCAGCCTCCTCCCCGGGACTGAGGGGAAAAGGCCCGTCCGCCGGGCGAAGCTGCGGTGGGTGTTGCGCTGCGGCTACTAAGGTTTCGAGGATTAATAATTCAGACCGTCCTTTGAAATAGGAAACGCGCAGTCGGCTGCGCCTGCCGTCTCGGAAGGGCCGGGACGCCGCCGGGCCGGGGGTTGATGTGTGAAACGGAAGATTTGTGAGGAGAGGCTGACGCCCCTGCCCGGGCCGCCGTCGCCGTGCGCCCATGCCGGTGCCCAGCAGGCATGTCAGCATCGGCCGCTCTCAGAGCTGGGACGCCGCCGGGTGGTACGAGGGCCCCTGGGAGGCGGCGGAGGCTCCGGGCCGCAGCGGCGCCCCGACGGACGGAGGCCGGGACGGGCCCTGGTGCGCGCCCGCGCCCGACTTCTGCCGCGAGGCCCTCTACGGCCCGGCGGCCGGAAGGAAGAGCTCCGTCCCCGACTTCGCCTTTTACGACAGCAGGCAGGCCGTGCTGTCCGCCCGGGGCGCCATGCTGCCGCGGGACTACTACGGCGACCCTGCCGGAGCCCCTCGGGCGCCCCGAGAGCCGCGTCCCCACCGGGACCCCGGCGTCAGCCGGCCGCTGCCCGGCTACGGGGTGCTTGGCGGCAGGATGACATGGGAGCAGGTGCAAGGCCGGGCCCCCGCCCTGCAGGACGCAGGTCACCTGTACCGGGATCCTGGAGGTAAAACGGTCGCGCCGGGGCAGCGGACGCAGAGCAGGGCCCCGTCGCCCGTGCGCTACGCCGGGGAGCTGGCCGATGGCAGGTATGGGGTCGACGTTGCCGCCTACGCCGCTGGCCAAGCCTACAACGATGCGGGCGACAGGCCTGTGGACCCCGCCCCTGCCAGGCAGGCAGCGCCCACCTGCCTGGTCGTGGACTCCACCGGGACTGCGGCCTCCGAGAGTGGCGCAGGGGCGGCCCCAGGCGCCCTGAATCGAGGCTACGGGCAGGAACAGGTCCCTTCCAAGATGTCTTACGAGAATTGTGAGGCCGACCTGTCCACCTTCCAGGGGCCCGGGGGCAAGAGGAGCCTGCTGCCCGAGTTCCTGGCCCTCCTCCGAGCTGAGGGCGTGGCAGAGGCCACGCTGGTGGCCCTGCTACAGCAGGGCTTCGACTCCCCGGCCGTCCTGGCCACCATGGAGGATGCGGACATCAAGTGCGTCGCGCCCAACCTGGGCCAGGCCCGCGTCCTGGGCCGTCTGGCCAGCAGCTGCAGGACTGAGATGCAGCTACGGAGGCAGGGCCGGGTGGGGCCCCTGCCCCGGACACGCTCCAACAGCTTCAGCCACCAAAGCGAGCTCCACGGTGACTTGTCCTCTCTGCAGCCCCAGCCTGTCGGTCCCCTGCAGGCGGCGTCACCCCGGGCTGGAGACCTGGCTCGCCGCCCCTCCAGTGCACCATCACAGCACCTCCTGGAGACCGCGGCTGCCTACTCTGCTCCTGCGGGGGGTGCCCAAGCCTCCCATTTCGCCTCCAACTCTGGGTACAGCTCTCCCACCCCTTGCGCCCTGACAGCACGGCTGGGCCCCACGTACCCCCCACATGCTGGAGTGGCCTTGATTAACCCAGGCCCCGGGGCGCACCTTCACCCAGGCCCCAGAACAGCCTACTCCACGGCATACACCGTCCCCATGGAACTGCTGAAGCGGGAACGGAACCTGGCCGCGTCTCCCCTGCCCAGCCCCTACGGCAGCCCCCAGCTCCTGCGGAAGCCCGGTGTCCCTGTGGAGCCGTCCACCCTGCCGCCAGCCAGCCAGAGCCTCCACGCGCCTCACTCGCCCTACCAGAAGGTGGCCCGGCGGACAGGAGCCCCCATCATCATGTCTACCATGCTTGCTCCGGAACCAAGTAATGCACCCCTCCCCGCTTCTTCACTTGGGATGTTGGGGGGACCAGTGGGAGCAGAGGTTTGAGCACAGGGCAGTGGGTCCTCCTGTTCTTGTTGTTCTCTGGCCAAGCCTGAGCGACCAGCCGCACACCCTGACTCCCACACGCACAGCCTGCCACATGAGGCACCGCGGCCAGGTCCTAGCCCAGCCAACTGACCCGGGTTCTCTTGGGTGAAACAGATTTTCAGATCAGGCTGACCCACTGGGCCGGCATGGCCTTCTCTGGTTCTCTAGTTGAGTCAAGTTGATTTGTGGATTTCCCTTTATAATGATGAAACACAACAGTGTTTCTGGGAGAACCTGAGAGATCACCCAGAACAGACTGAAGCCATCAGCTCACGAGGGGCGGCCTTGGAGAAGGCGGGGGTATTTATCCAGCGCCCCCATAAGTTGTGCATCATTCACTTGCCATTAGAATTGCACTGTCGTGTGGAAACACCTCCGAAGGGTCCACACGGTATCAGAGACAGGATTAACTGTCATGGAGCTAAAAACGGCTTGTGTTAAACAGAGCAAGATGTGGAAATCCCTTAGACCTCCTGTTTCAAAAACAGACTTAGTCTGGCATATTGGAAAGTATTGTTGGGAATTATATTTCCAAGTTGAGGAAATAGAGAAGGATCCTAGGTGGTTCTCATCAAAACATGAGACAAGTATAATTTATTGCATGTGTTTCTTTGGGCATTGTGGATAAACGTCCTGGCGGACATGCTCTGGGCACCAGTTAAAAACTCTAACTCTGGAATCTTGACTGACAGTTGAAGTTGTAAATCTGTTATCTTCCCTCTTGCCTCCTCAACATTTAAAAAGCAGAATCCTTTTTAAGTGATTTTTTTCTGAACAGCTAGTATTATGTCTGGGGTGGAGGTAGTGGAATGAAAGTCATGGTGGAAATACAATGTATGTTTTTGAAGATACCCCTTAAACATCTGTGGTGGGTCCTGGGGACCTGCTGTTGCAACCTTGAAATACTGCATTGGTTTCTCTCCATATTGGTGGAGCTGATGATCATTTGACTATTAATATTCTGAAATGGCGATTCTTGCTTTACGAGTTGACCTCCAGACACTTTCTTATTTCCAAAAGGGAGACTGGGTGACTGGATGGATTTTTCTGTTGTTTCTCACTAGAGATTCTGGTTTTGTCTTATGCATGGATTTCTTTTTTTAAGTCTGATCAAATAGTTTACTTCGTTTTGTTTGTTTTTTTAATCAATGTGTGGCAGAAAAAAAGTCATCTCATTTTTCTGAGGGCTTGTGCCTGCTCCCTCACCGTCAAACATTCTTTCTTTGCAACCCACTAATTTGCATGGCGATGACATTTGTTGTTCCAGTAATTTCATCTGATAATGGCCGGGCTTGCAGAGCAGATCTGAAAACATATTCCTTAATTATGTGTTGCTAAGCAACGGGAGGGTTTGGTCATAATCACAGAAAGATTATCTCCTCGTTGAAGTCCTGGAAAGGTTTCGCTGAAAGAGGACCTGTTAAATTGCCTTATTTCCTTCTTTCTCTGTTAATTTTGCACTGCCTTCTAACAAAAACATGCACTGTTATTTGGGTGTGGGGGAGGGATGTTGTTTGGTGAGGGAGCGTTAACACGGGTTTGCAGACCGAAGGATGTTGACTTGTTCCCTTTGCGTGGCAGCGAGCCAGGCAGGGCCAAGGAAGTCTGCAGGCGGAAGTCAGCCAGCAAATAAATTTCTCTGTCAGATGATCTGTCCCGTGGCCATTGTTGTTGTCCTCTTTCCTTCTCATCCCTTCCATGTGTCATAACCTCCCCCTAAATGTACTGTGCCAGGGACCAGGGGGTCAGAGCGGGGCTTCCCGGCAACTTTGGGTCTGTGCAGATGGCATTGTATGTGGCAGGCTTCGTGGAATCTGCAGCCAGATTTGGGTCTGTTGGGACCTAGTCTCCTGTGCCTGAAGAGTCCCTTTGTCCCTGTGTCCCCAAAAGGGTAGCATTTACATTTAAGGAAAAGCACCACAGACCTTACGTCTAGAAACCCGAACCTCATGCCAGCAGCCCCACCTGTCCTGGGCTGCTGAGCTGAGCGGAAACGGGAGCTGGCAACCTTTAAATCCAGTTCTGCCTCGGTCATTTGCGGCGCGACCAGCGTGAGTAAATCTTCATTTCCACCATCGCCTAACCTCCCCTTCCCCCCTCACCTGGAGGGCAGGGGGTGCCGAGGATGTGGATGACACTGTTCTCTCCCTTTGGAGAGGCAACCTGTGTGTTTACTGTGGGTTGGTTGGTTGTAAGTACCTGGTTTTGTTTTTATTCGCTTTGGATATTTTACCATATATTTGCTTGTCTCTGTTCATGAACTACCTGCTTCATCCAGGCTGGCTTTCTTGGTAAAAATAATAGCTCCTGTTTGCTAGTCTGCTGACCAGGCAGTTCAGGGTGACCTGGCAAGGAGGGACCCCAGTGCAGCCTGCCAGCCCCGCATGACACGCAGACCCGCATGAGTGACAGTTTCTGCTGTCACTCACACACTGACCTGGTTGACTGTGGCACAAGCTGTGGAACCTTCCAGCACTGGCTGTAACGGACGACGGCCCCTCCCCTGTGTCACGTGGTGCCGATCACAGCCAAGGATTTGCTGTCGCTGAGTCCTCCCTGTGATAAATGGAGCAGGCGCATCTTGTGAGCAGCAGTGCTGCAGCCATTTTCATAGTTTTGTCCCAAAACACAGCCGAGCACAGGCTGCTAAGGGCTCAGCCCAGGAGCAGCCCCGGTGCTGAAAGGTTCAATGTGAGACGTGCCGCCCCAGCCACTCTCTTTCTGGGGTTTTTCCCTTTCCTTCCGGCCATTTTTTCTGAATGCAACTGGACTCATTAGATGCAAATTGACCCCCATCTGGTCACTAGGGACACTGCAGGGCAGGGCAGGATGTGTCCGTGGTTGGTTTACGTTGGCGTTGTGGGGGAGGCTGAGGTTGTCACAGTGTGTGAGGTTCTGTCACCAGAACTGGTCACCTGCATGGCACTGATGTGCTAAAATTGTCACGGGTTTCCAACAACGTGGGTGTGTGTATGTATGCCTGGTCTCCTGGGTGCGAAGTCCCCCAGTAGAAAACTCTTAGTCCCATTAGAATAGAGGACTGTTCCTCTTGGGCCCTCGCACATCTGGTGGCTCTGCCCAGTCCTTGGCTTTTTTTGAGGATCTGTGCTGGGGGGGTGCCAGCCTTCAGGATGCTGACCCCCAAACCAGCAGGCTGGAAGAAAGCCAGAGAAGATACCCTCCACCCCCAAAGCAGAGCCAGCCCGGGACGGGTGGAGTCTGGGGACCCTGAGTTGGCCTGTTGAGCAGCTGGTGACAGCACCAGCCCTTCCGTTGGAGAGCCTTACTTTGTCATGATCGTGCAGTCTGACTAAGGAGGCGTGTACACGACGGAGAGAACATTCTCCAGGGCTGCCAGCCAGGGCATGACCTCCCGACCCCGACCACCAGCGGAGTGGGTAGGGCAGGCACTTGCGGCTGGCTCCCTAATCCCATTCCTTCAGCGTTGCCCAAGCCCCTGCCATGTGCTAGGCCTCGGAACACGTGTTTGTCACATTGGAGAGACCCCAGCGTGGCCTTCAGGCTCTGCAGCCTGGGCAGGGGGATATCACTGAGTGATGAAATACCACCTGGGTTAGGGACACACGTGGGGCCTCTGGAAGCCTGGCACGCGCGGGGAAGGCTGGAGGCAGGGCATGGGCCCCAGGACAGCCATCCTGACGGTAGGCCTTGTGGTCGGGCCCAGGAGAGGGGACGGAGACCTGTGAGCAGAAATCGTGTCCTGCAAGGGCTGGCAAGGTCCTGGCCGCTGCTCTGACTCACTCCCTGGGGCATCTCTACCGCTTTCCTTGCAGCGTGACATAGTCTTCCATGGTCAAGGGTTTCCAGCCTGTGGAACACGAAAGGGACTTCCCTGGGCGCACCCAGCGGGACTCGCCAACCCCTGTGGCCAGGGCCCTTTTCTCGGCAGAGCCTCCCTTCCAGATTGAGCTCAGGAGAAGGGCTGTGCACTGCCAAGGTGTCGACAGCTCAGCTTTTCCCAGGAAAACACCTGAAACACGTCTGACGTCAGTAACATCGACGGGCCTTCGGTTTGCTTTTGTACCTGGTCTTCCGGGCTGGCCACTCAGCCTGTGTTTGGAGTCAGACATTGCTCTTTGGTATGTTCTCTGAATTCAGGGTGCGCCCTCGGCAGCCACCTGCTCCTGTCCTCTGCATGCAAAGCCCGGATGTGGCCGCTCCCCACCCTTTTGGGGCCCCCACGATTCCTGCCCCCTTTGGGAGCTCACTGGATTGAGTTCATTGTTCCAGGCCCTCACTGTTGACTTCTGCTGTTTTCCCAGATTGGGAATGACCGTCTCTCATATATCAGTACCCGGGAAAAGTTGGACTAAACTCAGAGCCTGATCTTGGCGTCACCTCTTGTTCTTGTAGCTGGTTTTACTAGGCTGACTTTGAGTTTCTCGGTTCCCTCATTGGGCTCCTGGAAAAGCCATGCAGCCAGAAATACGATCTCAGCCCAGGAACACAAGGTAGTTGAATGCGTGACTCGGAAGTGTACAGTGTGCTGTGTGTCTTTGGGCAAGTATATTGAGCTCTCTCTTCCTGCTTCCATATCTGTCGAAGTAGGGTAGGAATTGAACCTGCCTCGTGGACTGTGGGAATGCAGTGACTACAAGAAGAAAGCTGGAGCACCGAGGTCATGAACCCTGCTCGGCCTTGGCCAGAGCTGGGTCTGCTTTGAAATGGTGCTTTTATCATCATCTTGGCCACTTTTCAGGCCGGGAGGCAGTACCCTGGGCTGTTGGGCACTTGGGGGGCTCAGAAGCCGGGCTCGTCCCCCAGCTCTGCGTCCCTCGAAGCAGCTTGCTCTGACCTTTTGGGTGTGGACGTGGTGTTGCTGTCTGTGTTGGGACAGAGGGCCGCTCTGCCAGGCCTGCCTGAGTCCCAGAA